AGGTAAATATCATGCCTTTGATATTTCTTGTGTTGTTTACATAGCATTTTACTAGTGTCTTTGAGGACCAAACAATGCAAGAGCAGCCTGAACCTAGAAGTACTCAGATATGCTGAAGAAGTGTTAATCAGCAGACACTTAGAAGAATAGAAACGACTTAATCTTTGCTCCTCTTCCATGTGTATGCTCAGACAAAACAGAGATGCAGGTAAACAGAAAAGGAAAATATTAATTTTGTATTTGGCAGGAGAAAGAATGGATTGTTCAGTGTAGCCAATCTGGTTACATTCATTAACTCCCTTGAACAATAGCAGCACAAAAGACTTCCTTTCAACAAATCTCCAGGATTATCCTGGGATAAATTGTATAGGGTACCTAAATGTCCTCAAACTAGTCTAGATGCTGGACCAGCCAAGAAAGTTCCTTACTTTCAAGAAGGATCTTAATGTGATTTAATGTTCCATGTTCTGAAATCTTGTTCCACCTGTGAACATCTATGCTTTACATAAAAGGGTTTTTTTCCCTAAAACTGAGGAAATTTGCTGAGTCATTTGTTGGACATGGGGCACTTCACTCTTACCAACATATCAACATGTAAGACTGTGATCCTGCACCAAACTCCATGAACCTGGTGCTCCAGTCAATGTAAGAAAGATCACTATGATATAGGAGGACAATACAGCAACATCTGATCCTTGAAGTTCTAATGAAGGTGGTATCAATTATGCTCACAGTTTTAGTTTGTGATATGAAGCATTTTCACAACGTATAAACCCTTATTTCTACATGCATGTCCCAGATGTGATACTCTAGGCACATGGTTCTCTCTGGTAGGGGAGAGATACATTTTGATACCTTGTGCAGTTAGCAAGAAACATATTTTTCTCTGCTTTCACACTGCTTAACTCTAGAAAGTCACACTTCTTTTTCAGGATACTAAGAATTTCACTGGCACAGGTTGCCCAGGGAGGTAGTGGATACCCCAACCCTGACAGTGTTCAA